CTTTATTACTAAATACAGAATATATAAAATACTCGGATGCATCATTTTCGATAAAATTTCATATTCTGACTATATAGAGATATACAATTTAAAATAACATCAAATGCACAAATTTCATAATTCTTTAAAAATTACTCGAGTTATCAACTTTTATCGTTAAATCTTAGTATACTCATTATCATCATCGTCGTAGTCCTCTCGATAAATAATTTCACGTGTATGATCTGATTCATCAGGACTTTCTTGTTCAATTTCATTACTATTATAGCTTTTACTATCAAGTTCTTCGCTATGCTCACTAACTTTTTGGTAATGACTATCTGATGATTCATTATCATAACGTTCTCCAACCATCGTATCACGCTGAATAACCTCTTTTTGTTGTTGGTGAGTTATATCATTGGTTTGATTTTCATAATCTTCATAGTTAAATATATAATTTTGCTCAATGTCAGATGGTTCATCGGAGGAATATGTGATGTCATTGCCATCATGGATATTGTATTTACGTAATAAATGAAATATTACTGGGAATACTTTATGATTTATATCTGATGCCCAAATCAAGTCTTAAAAAAGAAAGAAAATTTAGCATGATTGTCACCAAAAAATAATTGATGCATCATTCTCTTAAAATTACTTTAATAACCTTACCCAAATGCTCGTATTCCGGAATTTCTTTAACAAATACAGGCTTAGGAATTTGTTCTAACAGCATAGTTATATCCAATAAACTGTCACAGCCTCCATAAAATACTGCAATGGGTGTAGTAATTTGCTGTGTTGGAAACCTTTGACAAGATTTACCGAATGATGTTGTTGTATATGAATATGTGGGTAGTTCATCGTACATTTGAAAATTATGAGATCTGACAATTTGGAACCAGTGCTTAAAATTTGTTAATTAATATGTTAAATAATATTTACATAAAGATTAGTATACTTATATCCTCAGTTAAAATAATAATAATAATAATATATATATATATATATATAGATGAATTACATACCACAACACTTTTGACACTGCTACAACTAAACAAATGATAATAACCAATAGCCTTTTGAATTTCACTAATATTTTCACAACTCCACCCAAATAAAAACTTTAATGCAAAATCTACTATTTTTGTAAATATAGGAGGTGACAATACTCGTTGCCAAAATAATACCATTGTTAATATTGCTTTACGACCAAAGAATAAGTAGATTATATTTGGCGAAACTTTTATAAATGCATTTACTATAGAATTATTAAGGCCTGTTCGATTTAGAATATTATTTGAATTTGAAATGTGTTGTTAGGAAGATTGTAAGTAAACAATACTTTTAATAGTAATATTCTAATGTATATAACTCTAAATATAGCTTTACATATAAATTATAGACACACCTTTGGGGCTTGTTGCCGGAGCCAGAGCAATGAATAAATTAATCTTACTGTTGATCTTTGGATTTATTGACAATGCCGCAAAAGCTTGCGCAGTTCCTTGAGAAAAGCCAATATATGACAAAGATGGTACACCTGTTGTTTCTAATATGTACTATATAAATATTAAATTTTAGAATTACTTCTTTACAATATATATTAAAGAACCTCATCTATATCAAAATAAAAGATTTAAAATAAGGCATACATTAATGGTATCTGGCAAATCATAAAGAGCAAATTCATCCATTGAAAAATTCCAAAATTTACGTCCGCTTGGATCATATTTTAAGTGTTTCATCGAATACTTGTTTCCTCGAGAATTACCGAACCATACATCATACCTTATAATTAGAAAATTTTAATTCTATTATTAATTATCTATATAAAAAAATTTTATTGACTTACCCAGCGTCAGCTAGTAAACAACATAATCTATTCTCGTATTCATAATTACAAACCCAAAGTTCGCTACAAGTCATTAACCCATGATAAAACAACACAACAGGTTTAACAAAGTTACGTCTTTCGTTTGGTTCGCTGACTATTTCTCTACTGTTCATAGATTTATTAGAATAAGTCGATGAAGAAGAAACATCAGCGGATTTCTGTGTATTAGTCATATGCAATAGCCCTGCACTACTTGAATTCTCATCACTATGAAACAATCCGTCATGATCTCTGTCAGGGTGTCGAATTGTATTTAATGAAATACCACATCTTCTGAATACGGATTCTATAGATTCATGTTGAATTTCATTATCGTTATCATTATGAGATATATGAACAAGTTCGTCATCATCAGGAATTATTCTTCCGTGAGGAATACGCTGAATTCCCAAAATATAATTATCCTGAGTTCTAACTATATGCTCTTCAACTGGATATCCCCTGTTTGTTGTTAAATATTGTGATTGATGGAAGTAAAAGTAATGGAATAACAGTAGTTGGATGAAATTTAGTTACCAATAATTAACTAATTCTTTGAAATTATCGATACGTTGAAGCAACTTTACAGATGTTGTTCTTTCATCTTTGTAGACTTTTGAGAACAATCTAAAATTTACAGCGTTTATGCAAAAAAAAAAAAAAAGCATTAATACGATTAAAATAAAACCTACCAATTGATTTTTTATTTTTATTTATTGATCTTTAGTTACCTTTGACTCCCATCCTGCAAATATTTTACGACAACACTTGGTAGAAAAAATGTAACCACTCTTAATAATCTTTCCAAAATTAAAAATATCAAACTGGTGATTAAGGCTTGATATTCTGAATAGTTTAGGCGGCCTACAATTGGAAACATTGGAAACACCATCTTTCTTTTTAGTATACGTATTAAACATATAATGTATCGATATCTTTATTTTTAACCCAAAATATTAATCATTGCTGCAAGATGAAAACTTTCATGCCAAATTGAAGAGATGAGCGTGTCATGGGAAAGCATATGGTTATATAATCATCATCGGTAAGACAAGTAACTTTCTCGATTTACTTATTTGTGCAATTAACAAATCATATGATCATATGGATATTCTTAGAGATTCATACTCGTAACTTAAAAGAATTAAATAATTCACTCGTTAGTACTAGTAAAATAATAGGTATAAGATCACACAAAGATAATTAATTGGATCTCATAACCCAGTAAGATCAATTTTGTGAATTTTGAAAACCTTAAGTGAGCTCTTTTGAGAATCGAATAATATAGTCGACATAGATCATTAGGACTTTTGTTAAAATTGCACTTAGAAAGATGCATTTAGTGTGAGTAAAATCTTTATATTTATTTGAAGCTTGATGTTGCCTCTGTATTTGTATGACCTAAAACGTTAATTTTTACGATTGGATGATGACTATAAAATAAATATTTTTATCCTATATAGTTCGTTTTGGATGCAAGGTCGTTCTCAATGCCTAAATTATGAAAATAGGTCTCATGTTATTTTAAATTGTATATCACTATATAGTCAGAATATGAAATTTTATCGAAAATGATGCATCCGAGTATTTTATATATTCTGTATTTAGTAATAAAG